TGCGGCCGATGAGTGTGCGAGGCGCTGGCGCGGCGACCCCCCTGCCCCCAGGGGCTGCGGGCGGCAAAGGGCTCACTCCGGTTCCATTCGGTCTCCTCGCGCCGCAGCCGCAGCGTGACTCTCAAAAGTTACACCCGGCCGGGTCTCCCCCTTCTCCCCAGAGGAAAACCCGACACAGCGCTGGCTTTCAGGGACGTCATTTTTAAAAAGGTATATCCTTGTATCATTGGTTTCGGAGAGAGAAACGTCCATGATGAGAGAGAACCATGGATCGGCCGCCTCCCGCACGCCCCCCACTGGGGATGGAGCCCGCATCCCGGGCCTGTGCTCCGGCCGCGAATCCAACCGTGACCTCCAGGTTCCTAGGTGGATGCTCAGCCACAAAGGCCAGCGGGACAGGAGTTTGTTTAGTATTTTAAAGGACGACATCCAGACCCGAGTCATGCCAGTTTGCTATTTGGTTTAGTTTGCTGATCACATCATCCGGCTGAGCTGACTTCCTAGCCGGGGTCCAAGGCTGTGCAAGGACCGTGGGGTGAGGCAGCAGCCCCGGTGCTTAAACCCGTGCACGTCAGCACGGACGGCGCAAGTCAGTTTGCTTTTCCTCTGCCGCCTCCGCCAGCCCAGACCCTCATCCCAGCACCGGCCCACCGGAAGTGCGTGCAAGTGCGCTTTTCACCAGAGCCCCTGGTCAGCGCGTCACTTACCGGGGTGCCCCAGGGTCGATCCTGGGCAGCGTTTGAAAGCACCTCAGCTGTTGTTTGTGGTGTGAAGTGACCCTTTCCTTTACTTGTTTGCGGGACATTTCAGTGGCGTCACCTCCTAGCTCGGGTCGTGGTGGTTTTGCAAATGCAGATCAGGGACCCAGCCACACACCTGTTAGTCCCTGTCCTCCTGCCCCGGAGCCCCCGCAGGTGCTGTTCCCCGGGCCAGGGACTCTCCCGTCCTCGGTTCCCAGCTCAGATCTCACATGTCGCTGCTCTAAGGGAAGCCTTTCCGGCCCTGACCCGTTTCCAAGCTCCCACAACACCGTGCGCCGGGTCTTAAAGCCCGAGTAGGTGCCGCTGTACGTTGACTTGAGTGTTTCCTCAATGTCTGTATGTCCGCCTGCTTTCTGAAGGCAGGGCCCTTCAGTCCTCCCCTTTCCATCTGAGCCCGGCACAGTGCCTGGGAAGCGGTGGGACCAGGCGGCACCTGTTTGCCAAGTGAAGGATGCAGAGCCTCAGGGCCGGGGGCGGAACCGGGCCCAGGCAGTGCAGGGGCTGGCGAAGTGAGCCTGTTGGTTGCTCCCCCGTCTTGCAGGCAGGTGAGCTCCCCTGTGCGCCTGCGGCTCACCCCGAGCTGGCTTTCCAACCGGAAACTGGCTGAGTGTGTGTTCTTCCGGCTTTTTGTCCGGTGAGGAGATGGTATGAGGGGTTTTGTAATTTGTGCGGATGCAGCGTTGATAACGTTCGCCCGTCTTGTCGGCTGGACGGTTACAGTTCTTTATGTAACCTTTTCTTCGTGTCCTTTTCCTGGCATGTTCTGTAGCGAGAGTGAGAGCCAGAAAGAACAGAGGTCGCGGGAGGAGAAAAGCTGCAGTGGGACACCATGCTGCCGTGTCTGGAGCGTTCCGTGTGATCATCTGTTTTGTGTTATTTACAGGAAGTGAATGTCGACTTTGAAGCTTATTCCATCTCGGACAACGATTATGACGGGATTAAGAAACTACTGCAGCAGGTATTGCTTTTTACTCCTTATGCATAAACTTGCTCTTCTAAGGAAATCCGGGCCCGTCAGCACCAGCTCTGTCGGCATGCTCCTCTCTGCTTTGGAATTCCCTCCCCTCCTCCCATCCCTCTTCCCTCCCCGGCCCTGGTCCCGGCCCAGAAGGAAGAGCTTCTCTCTGTGCTTCTGCCCCCAGCCCCTTCCTCCATGAACATAGTTGTCTGTTCTTCCTCCTGCAGCACTTTCATCTGCTAATTCCTTGGGCCACTGTTCTGTCTTTTCCTGAGTCACATTCCAGCTTTCTCAGGAGAGGAATTCTCACGTAGAAGTCGTATCCCAGCAGCATCTGCTGCTTCTACATTTTCCTTTGTCCATGGAAACGGCTTCAGCTCCCAGTAGAGCCGTTAGTGTCCTAGTCACCTTCCTGGTCAAATCATTGAAATGTCATGGTTTTTATTTGAATATGGAAATGAGAAGTAATTTTAGATGTCGCACTCTGACTTTAATTTAAATTATTGTTTTCTCTTAGCTTTTCCTCAAGGCACCTGTCAACACTGCAGAACTGACGAATCTCTTAATTCAGCAGAACCACATCGGGAGTGTGATTAAGGTAAGCAGGCAGCTTCGCTCATTCTGATTCAGTGGGTTCTTGATCCTGGGAAGCCCCTTCCTGATGTATCGCCAGCGGCTGGACGCTTCAGTCGGGATGGAGCAGGGAGACTGGGTTAGTGCCGCAGTGCGGGTAATGGCGGTGGAGAGGGCGAGGAGTGGGCTGATTCAGAAGGCATTTGGGAGATGAAATACGGTGGGCTGAGGCAGAGGGAAAGGAGTCAGGCATGACTCCGAGGGTCTGGCTAAAGCAACCAGGACAGCGACATGGAGGACGATAGGTTAGGAGGGGAACCCGTTTGGACTTGTACGTTTCGAGTTTGTTTGCCTGTAATAATGCAAGTGAGCTGTTGAGTAGCAGCTGGAGACTTGGGCGTTTTCAGTAACAGGAAGCCCCGCACGGGTCCCAGGGGAGGGCGCAGAGACCCCACCTCTTGATGGGAGGAGAGTTTGGGTCGCTGTCAGACAAGGAGGGATGGCCGATGTCCTTGTGGCCCTCTGCAAGGCACAGTCTTACAAGACCTTCTAGGCCGCTGTCAGTCTGACCACGGATGATGCATGCGCCCCCTCATAGGGCGGGAGGTGGACGGAGTGAGTAGCTGAGTGTAAGGTGTTAGCGCTGTGGCCCGTGACCGGCGCTCCGTGTGGACTGTCAGGTGGTGTGGTCCTGTTCCCAGCCCTTTGCACAGCTCCCTGTTCGACTGCATTTCCTGCCGGGACGCCCCAGGCTGGACCCGGTGAGCAGGCCGGCCCTGGAGAGTAACCTGTGATGCAGCTCAGCCAGGAGGTTCCGTGGGAGCCAAGCTCTTCTTCCTTAGCTGTTTTCTGGATTTGCCATTTTCGTTCTCGCCTCTTTGTCTCTGCCTGAGCACAGGCGGCCCTCGGGCATCAGTCACCTTCTTCGGAGCCAGGCTGGCCCGCGCTCGGCAGCACAGGACGTGGTGAGGCGTGTGGACCCCGGAGAGACGAGCAGGACCGGCTCCTGCCAAATCGTTCAGAAACGGACTGAACAGTTTATGTCATGAGGCCTTAGCTGTTCTGGACTTGTAACATGTTGAGAATCTAATAAAGAAAACTCGTGTACGTTAGGGCAGGAGAGGTCACGCAGAATGTGAAGAGAGGCACGGAATCAGGGAGGCACGGATGCGCACGGGGCCACACCGCCGTTACCCATGATGCTTTTCTGGGGGACGGTGATAAAACAGTTTGTGTTTAAACAGAGTAATGAGGCCTAGATTTCAGGCTTGGTATCCTATTTCTTCCCAACCAAGTGTAAATTAAAACTCCTTTTCTTTTTAAAATAGCAAACGGATGCTTCAGAAGATAGTGATGACGATGTGGACGAAGATGAGATTTTTGGTTTCATAAGTCTTCTCAATTTAACTGAACGAAAGGTGGGTCCCTTGGGGGCACCTGTGTGGTCACCCTTAGGCCAGACTGCGTGTGTAACACACATGAAGTGTTTCTGTCAGGCGGTGACAGTTGTTGTAAGGGCGTGTGCACTTGTGAAGTCTCACGTAACCTGTTTTCAAATGAAGGTATTATTTTGTGTCTTTTAAAAAATATATATTCAGAGAGGTAGGGAGAGGGAGAGATAGAAACATCAATAATGAGAGAGAATCACGGATCGGCTGCCTCCTGCACTCCTCACACTGGGGATCGAGCCCACCACCTGGCCATGTGCCCTGACCAGGAATCAAACCGTGACCTCCTGGTTCCTGGGTCGACATTCAAGCCCAGAGCCACTCCGGCCGCGTGGAGGTGTTTTGTTTTGACGGGTGTGTTCCCAGTTCAAGTCCTCCCTCCTGGGTGTAGAGTCCCCGCCTGGCCGCATTAACACGTGGCTGGAGCTTCCCCTGCAGCTGCTCTGTGATGGGCCGTGCTGCTCCCTGAAGGGGAGGGCGCTACTGACACGGACGGTCACAGGGTTTGCGCTCATCGCTCTTTCCTACTCACTGATGATTCCAGTGGAAAGTAAAAACCAGCTGCCTTCCCCTCCTCACAAGGCGCAGGTGCACTCTGGTGTTACATGGGCTTGCAGTGCCCTCCGCCATCTCCGAGGTGGACTGGCTCCTCCAGGGCCCTCACCACGGTCATGGGTGGTGGTTCCTTCCAGGCAGAGTTACCCTGAGAAGCACACAGCAGGCAGCACTGAGGACAGCAGACTCTAGGCTGTGACAGCTGCCTCCCATGAGGATCTGGTGCTCAGTCAGGTTCTGCTGGAAGTGGTGGCCTGAGTGAGGCCCGCTCTCTGCTTTCAGGGGACCCAGTGTGCGGAGCAGATTAAGGAGCTGACCCTGAGCGGCTGCGCGAAGAGCTGTGAGAAGAGCGTGGTCGAGCAGCTGGACAAGCTCTTCAATGACCCCGCCCGGCCCGTTTATTGGGGTGAAACAGGTCAATAAAACTAACTAGGTTTCAGGTATACAATTCTACAATACATCATTGGGCAAGTTACTTACCTTCTCTGAGTTTCATAAAATGGGGACAACAAAAGTAGGGGGGAGTCCCGCCCCGGGCTGGGTGGCAGAGGGTGGGCGGGGGGCACTTGTCCGCGGGCTGCACACGGTCCTCACTATCGGCTTTTCAGTTTTAATCACTAAAGCTATTCTGACGAGTCCGTAACCTTAGAGTTCAGTGGTATTAAAGTAGGTGAGTCTCATGTAGACTTTTCACTCCTATTTGACCAGCTTTTCACCTTCCCTGGTAGATTAACATGAAAAATATGAATAATTACAACAGTAACAAAAACTGAGTAAAATTTCCAAATTTCACTGGAATGTTTTATGACTAAGGAAACCATAGTCTTCATACCATATTTCTGGCTTCTCAGGGTTTTGTTTTTAAACGCAGTTTTAAGTTGACAAGAACATCTTACATGTAAGAAGAGCTAAGAATCGGTATTGCCTGTGCTTTAATAGAGGAGGACGAGAACTCGGACAGGTCCCCTGCCCTCCCAGCCCCGTGTTCCTGAGGTCTCAGCACTCCTGGTTTCCTTAGTGGGAATGTGCGAATATAACCGGAGGCTGGAAACTTTCCCCTCCCCCCCCCCCCCGCCCCCAGCTCCTCGTGGGTTTTGTTTGTGTTGTCTTTTCCTGATCAGCTGGAGCTCAAGCTCATCTGATTTCCCCGGGGGTGGCCGCCTTCTGATCCCCTGTAAAGGCAGCTGAGTGGGCTGTTCCGCTTTCCTTACGTTTTGTTTGCTGGATGCACAGGATGATGCCTGCTTCTCAGGAAGGAAATGGAGGCTCCCTTGCTGTTGCGCTGACTGCAGAGTTAGTGTCTGCGCTTTGCTGTGTGCTTTCTGCAGCGCAGGAGAAGTGAGTCCTGGACTCGCGATTGGAGCCTGGAGCTGTCACGTGCTCCCATGGCATTGGGTGTGGCCGTGTGCCTTTGTGTGTTTCAATTCCATGTTTGCTGCTTTAAATCTCCAGGTTCTTAGTGTTTTTAACTTGAGCACAGAGCAGGGATGTTGAGGAATCTGAGAGATCCGTCACCCTGTTCTTTAGGAAAAGCCCCGTTAGAACAATCGAAGTGCAGAAGGCAGAGCTGAAGCTCACTGCTGGGCAAGTGTCAGACCTGCGTCTGCGCGGGAAGCCGAGTCCCAGCAGGAGCCCTGCCCCGCCTCCCTGCTTCCCAGGGCCTGGGTGTGGCTGGGCTGGTGTCACCGGCCGGCAGCTGACCTGTGTGTGTCTTGTAGGAAGGAACTGGCCGAGGCACACAAGACCAACAAGCCGTGCGGGAAGTGTCACTTCTACCTTCTGATCAGCAAGACGTTTGCGGAAGCAGGAAAAGGCAATTCCCAAAAGAAGCAGAGCAGCCAAAAGAAGGATGAGTTAATGTTTGCGAATGCAGAGGAAGAATTCTTCTATGAGGTAAGATGGTCTTGTTCCATGCATTTGTTTAGATGGAACCTCCGGTTCTCAATTCGGTTCTCAGATTGTTCACATAAAAATATCTCGGTTATTGAACAAAACTTCGGTTCTCAACCAGCAGCCCTTCCATGCTGATGTGATCAGTTGTGCGTCTCTCAGGTGACGAGAGAGTGAGCGAGTCAGTTTACTGCTAAACCTCACCTTGTTAACATCTCAGGAAGTTGTGCTGGGAATATTTTTATGTTTTTTTACTTTTGCTGATTTGGTTTTCAAACAAGTTGCTTCTTGAACAGCCTTCCGGAATGAATGAAGTTCAAGAACCAAGGTTCCCTGGTATATAGGGATTTTCTTGACAATAAGTCAGGACTCTCCCATTTTGTATCAGTCTTTGGAGTGTGGCCACTCTGTTTTCCTCCTTGTCCCCAGCTGCTAGCAGCTCACAGTGCGTGGCGCGCACTAGGTTCTCACAGGTCATCACTGCCCCAGCCCCACTGTTGGTGACGAGTGTCGGAGGAGACAGTCGTGAACCTGCTGGTAGTGATCAGGCTGCTGATGTGCTGCGAGAGCTGCGGCTCCCAACCCCTCCGGGAGGAAGGATGAGCCTGGGTTCAAGGTGGACATTGAGTCTGAGGGACAGCCATCAGCTGAGGTCCCAGCCCGTCAGGTGGACCCTGCCCTCCCATCTGGCTCCCGGGCCGCTCTGCCCCTCGTCCTGGATGTCATCCCGTTAGTGGGTTTCTGGCACTTTCCTTCCTGTGAAGGTAGCTGGTGCGCCATGGCCAGCCAGAGAGGCAATATCCTCCCTGTGCAGCCCTCCCCAGAAGTGAGCCTCCGAGCAGGGCCCTCTCCTTGGGTGGCCGCCGCCGCCGCGTCTTTCTCTGGGGACTCCCAGTCAAGACTGGCAGGGCTGGGCCTTTTCGGGAAGGAGACAGTGGGAATGAAATTGTGAGGCTACGCCCTGCATCTCAGGGTGCGTGTGGGTTTGAACACGGCTGGTTCTGCAACCTTCCCTTCGTCCACAGCAGCTCTGCGGAGGAGGAGCTGGGGCGGCAGGAAGGCCTGCATTTGCAGGGTCTTCTTGTTAGATGTCCAGTGTTGTGCCTGTTACTGTCCCTCTGTCACAGGTTGTGACTGGGGAGTGACCTGAGAGGTAGACAGTGTAAGTGGGCGGTAGCTCAGTGTCACCGGCTGCTGGCTCACCTCCTGGAGGTGCCTTTTGCCAAGTGTCCCTTCAGCCCCCCTTCAGCCCCCGTTCCTATGGAAACGTGTCAAACAGTATGTGCTGCCGATTGCGTGTTGCTTATTCACGGTGTTTGTGTGGTTCAGAAGGCCGTCCTGACGTTCAGCTACTCAGTGCAGGAGGAGAGCGACTCGTGTCTGGGCGGCAGGTGGTCCTTCGACGACGTCCCGATGAAGCCCCTGCGCACCGTCATGCTGGTCCCGTGTGACAGGATGGGCGAGATCATGGCGGCGCTGGAGGAACATCTGTCTGTCTAGCCGCTTCCCACCGAGAGGGCGTGCTGTGTTTGTAAAATCACCAGAAAACCCAGTGGAGTTTTACTGAAAAACTCGAGACTTTATTTAGCTTTAGCTTCTCTACACAAAGTAGGGTTCTGTCGCCTGTGTCTGTGACACATTTACAAAATAGTGTTTAAAAAATTTTTGGTCAAATTATGAACGTTTGATTAAAAACCTTCCCCATAAGAAGAAAAACGTGGAGCAGTTATTGAAAGAACTCAATAAAAACGTCTATGTTTTATTTTTAAATAATATACAAAGTATTAGCTTGTTTCAAGACTGTGTGGCTCAGAGGCTGTCCTCCCGTCCTCCCGTGAGTCGCTGCCCGGCGCCGGCCCCACAGGCCGACTGGGCATTCACGGCGCGTGGCTCCGGGAGCTTCTGAGGCGTCACTGCAGGGCGCACCTTTGTTCAGTAGTTTCAGGGCACTTCTCGCAGGGCGTCTGCTCCCCTTTCGTGGCGGGGGCAGGGGCCAGGCGGTCCAAGGCTTGCTGCAGGATGTCCTTGCTCTCGCTGGGGGGCAGGTTGCTGAAGTAGTACTGGGGCGCCAGCTGCACAAACCTGTGTTAAGAAATAGTGTTATTGGTGGAGAGAGCGAGCGTGCCCGGGCCCTTCCCCGCCTGCCGAATCCATAGGCTGGCATGTAACGTGGGCTCCTCCGAGCCTTAGCCGCTGGAGGGTGGCCCTGGCTGTTGTTTTTACGGAACCAACCCCCTAGCATTTCTAGGGCTGCTGGCTCTCTGGTGTCAGGCCGTCACTCTGACCACCAGGGACTCTACTTCCCCTCAGAGCCATCCAGTGCCAAGGATCAGATCTGATGCTTGGAGAACTCTGGGTGGTAAGAGGAGGGCCTTTGCCTCTCCCTCTTCCTAACAAAACCACCCCATGTCCAGCTGAGTGGACAGCTGTCGCTTTCCCTTGGTTCCTGCCAGAGCATCACTCTGCCCACGCGGTGGAGGGACCTTCAGAACAGACACGGCACGGTGCCAGCCTCCGAGAGGCCCGTCCCTTCTTCCCACTGCCCCTCCGCACCCGTTCACCGGGCAGCCAGAGGGATCTTTAGGTCCATGAGATGCCACCCTCCTCCATCTCCAGCTGCTTTCAGTCCTGCACTCGGCATAAACCATAAGCCCCCCGCACTGGCCGCTGCCTACCCTCAGCCCCGCCACCCCCAGCTCAGTCTCTGGCTCATCTGCTGAGAGGCTGAGCTTATTCCTGGTCAGAGGCCTGCTGCTTTGTGTTTGTAGGAGCCTCTGTGCTGCGGCCTCAGGGCAGGGCCTGTCTGCAGGGATCGCTAAGTAGAAACCTCTACCGGAGCCTAACTAGGAACCCATCTCCCCGGGACGCACAGCTCCGGGGAGGTCTCGGAGGTGATCCGGATGTAGTTGTTCTCGCAGATGCTGAACTTGTGGAAGAGGACCCACTCAGGTGGTGTCTTCCTGCCGAGCGAGTAGCTGGACAGCGGGTGCAGCTGCGCCACCTGCTTGTGCGTCAGCATCAGGTAGTTGCCCGATCCATCCACGTCCCGGGCGATCTAGAGGGCATGGTCAGGAGAGACTGTTACTGTGGAGGGCAGCACTCACGCGCTTGGTTTGAGCCCCAAAGGGTCTCTTTCCTCGGGAGCCTGAGGACCAGAGTTCCACCCATGCGTCCTATTGCAGACACCGAAGTAGGACATGAGGCAGAGGTGATGGTGCCGACACGAGCGACGCCGGGCGCTGCGGTGGGTGATGTCTGCTCTCGAACAGCAAGCGCGGCACCCCACCCCTCGTGGCCTCGCTCGTCTGGTCCTCAGGACCCGGTGCCGCCAGGGCCTAACCTCCCACAGGGACGAGGACCTCCGAGCTGAGATGTCGCGCCTCCAGGGGGCGCGCTAGGGTGGGGAGGGGATGTCAGACCCATGTCTCTGACGCCCTCTAAGAGCCTCCCGGTGAGGAGCGAAGGAGGCGCTTTCTTTGCTGGGCGTTGTTCACCCCTAAATGTGAGCGGGTTCGCCAACAGCTCAGAGCCCGGTCTGCCCCTCCCCTGCCCTTTGGACAGCGTTGTGTGTTCTGGCTGAGCCCCTCATGCCTGAGGGAAGTATATTTAAATATGAAGTCGCATCAGGGCTTTTGTTGTGTTTTAAAGTGAACCTCAGTGTGAAGTGATCACCGAGCGCCTGCCGGGGGGTCAGGGCCCATGGGGGCGGCCGTCCTCACCTGCATGAAGAAGCCGGACAGCAGGGCCTTCTTGATGTTCAGCGTGTTCTCCTGGGAGCCAAACGCGGGCTCTGCGTAGGGCAGCTCGATCCGCCGGACGATGTCCACGAGCTCAGCGCG